TTTTTTCATCTTTTCATGGTGTATAATTTACCTTTTCATCATTACTGTGACTGGTCAGTTTAATTTAAATTGTAAATCTAAAACAGTTTTCTTTGCTTGTAACGTTTCCAAGGAGAAAGTTATGATTAGTCAGTTCTAATATAACCTGCCAATGAGAAGTATTATAATTTTCTGGTTTGGTGATTGTAGATTGAAGAAACATCAACAGAAGTTACTGAACGGCGTTCAAACGTTTCATTTAGTCCGAAGGACATCAAGGAAGTCGTAAGTATTAAGGTTGTTTTTTTTATGAACCACTTAATTCTATTCTCTATTCTCTCTTTTCCTCTCTTGCCTCCTGCTAATTCTTCCCAACCATCCCATCCAGTTTCCCATCCATCCACTTCTCTTTATGCTCCTTCTCCTACGCACATACCATCCTTTGTTTTTTCCTCATCTTTTTCTCAACCAATTCCTTCCTTTAACAACAGGGTTCCCAGGGGTCAGGGAAAAGTCAGGGAAAAACACAGTCAGGGAATTTTTTATTTAGTCAGTGAAATAGTGATTTTCACCTAAAGTCAGGGAAAAGTCAGAGAATTTTGTTWAAAGTTAACCAGGAGTATCTGTGTGATACTCATACTGTTTGCAATTTTCGAATAGACTGATAAATCTTTTCAAATAATGAAAAAAATATTGAAGTATTTAGTATCATTTATGCCGGACAGTATAATTATGTTGGGTATCCTGTGTAATATAATAAGAACAGTGCCCAGGTAAAAGTTAGGCATGTGGCCCATGCTTGCTCATGCGGCCAAACAAAGTCAGTGAAAACTGTCATTTAGTCAGGGAAAAGTCAGCTAAAAGTCAGGGAATTTTTATTTTAAAAATGGCTGGGAACCCTGAACAAGCCCTTTCCATGCATCTCAGCTCTCCTCTTCTCTTCCCTATTTTATTTTATTTTATTTTTTTTAATCTCATGTGCAACAAAAATCATATAAAAATCCTTAAATGCCATGAAAATGTCTTGTGTCTTTAAAAGATAAAATGCACATTGTTATATTTTTAGGAGAGTTGGACAGCCCAGTACAAGCAACACCCAAACACTATTGTCAAGTTTTATAGCACCTGGAAGACAATGAAACCGGTTACGACACCACCTCAGGTATGTGAGCAGGGAAGCACAGGTGGCGTGTGCGTCTAATGCATCTCCTCTCACCAATGTGACCYGGGTTTAAGTCCTGGCGGGCTTGGTGTCATATGAGTGAGTTGAGTATTTTTGTTGGTTTCTCTCTTGTGCCTAGAGGGTTTCTCTCCAGTTTCTCCGGTTTTTCCTTCCTCCACAAAAATCAACTTCAGTTGATTCGATCTATCGGMTGCCTTATCAAATGGGTTGCAAGCCTGTTAAGCATTAAGCCCTCCACCCAGGAGTGGTATAAAATGMATTAGGGTTAGGGTGCACAGTGCAAAATGAGGGTGGTATAGTGTCGCTAATCACCTCTGGGGTCTCAGGTTTGAATCTTGGTTCGTGGCTTTTTCTTGGCGTTTTGAGGTTTCGGCTCCCTCCGCAGAACCTAACATGCTAAATTCCAATTCAATCTGTTAGTTAGCCATGCCCTGACTTAGATCAGCCCAGAGGTTGTTTCAGGGTTCAATCTGTCAGTTAGCCACGCCCTGACTTAGATCAGCCCAGAGGTTGTTTCAGGGTTTGATCTGTGAGTTAGCCATGCCCTGACTTAGATCAGCCCAGAGGTTGTTTCAGG